TTGTCTGAGTTGTTTACTCTGCAGCGTCCCCCGGTGTGAATGCTCCGGATTGAGCCTATCTGTCAGGCCCCTTCAGGACCCATGGTTTATGATACGTGCTGGTCAGATGAAAAATATAAGGCTGACATTTTCCAGACTTTTCACCATCATCTGACCGTAAACTAAATGAGTCGTGTGCTCAGATGCTTGTGTGAATTAGCTCATTGAAAAAGAAACAGAGATGCATTTATCTTCAGCGCGGGGTTTACGGCTGATGCAGCAGCTGGCTAAGTTCTTCCATTAAATTATTTTCAGGGAACGGTTCTCTGGGCTCCGACAGGTTCACCAATGGTGATACTTTCCACGGCTGCTGCTTAGCGAGCGTTGTTTATCTGAGCAGCTTTATTGAGAGGTTGCGCCATGGCACCGGTGTTGTCCCACTTGAGCTGGAGACAAACAGTAAACACGCTGCAAAAACTGGAGCTGGCAGCATATTTCACATCTTACTCAGGCTGTTAGAAGAGCTTTGGTTTATTTACACAACTTCTTCTAGTGGCTGGTATTGTTTGTTCTTGAAGAATATATAAATAAAACCTTTAATGGAAGGTGCACTTTAATTTTTTTTCAACTGATTATTTTTGCCAGTTCATCTAATCCAGTTTAAAAGTTCTGATGAAAAACTTTGTCTTTCTCGTATGGTTTAGGGATGAACTATCGGGTTCATAAATGTAGGTTTGCAAAAGAAGAACTGAAATACACAGTAATGGATACAATTTCTGCAGAAAGGAGAGACAGTTGAACCCCAGATTCAAACATTCTGTCTCCCCCTGGACCTCCTCTGCAAAGCGTTTATTAACAGAACATGACGCATGGTTACAAACAGAGTATTGTTCTGACAGAACAATTGATCAGTTCATGAAGACAGAATGCTCCATCAGAATGACGAGGCAGGATGGTCTCCTGACTGAATCATGAGACAGGAGTGGAGCATCCCCTTGCAAAAAGGTTTTATAAGCACACATTAATTTTATAATCATCATTGAATAAACCTAACATGAACATTAAAGCCGGGCGTACACTGTAGAATGTTTTGCTCTTTTCGGGTCGATTCTCCAGTCATGCGAGCATTTTTCGCATAGTGTACGAGGGGCGATCAGCCTCTTATGTCCACCTCCCGATCAGGAATCGTAAGGTCGGGAGAAAATCAAGCATGTTTGCAATTCATGAGGGCCGTCGTAAGGTAGTTGTTGGCAAATCGCTCAGCGTGCAAGCAAGGACTCTTCTTCCTCTCAGAAGAAAACACAGAAGCATGGCGGTGGTGCAAGTGAAATGGAGTTCTTTCTGTAAACTGGAAAGACCGTAGTAGCCATGTTTGCTCAGCCATGTTTTTGTCCAAATACGTCGTTGACTTTTCTTTTTAGGGCTTTCAGCACAAAATTGCACAAATTTCCATGGCAGCTTC